CGTGGGGGTCATGGCTGCTGGAAGGGGACCATGGTTCGGGGGTGGGGGTGGGGCACGGGAGAGTCAAGCTCACCCCACCTGCGGGTGCTGGAGTGGGTGCTTGGAGAGGGCCAGGCCTCGGGTGGGGGTGGCCTTGGCCTGCCCTCACCTGTATGCAGAGGGCTGGGGCAGGGGGCATCTGCTTGGCCTTCTGGGGCTGGTCAGTGGGTCCGGCTGCTGTGGCCACATGGTCAGAGTCAGGCAGGGATGTGTGGGCACATGAATCCATCTAGTTTGGTAAGAAGTGAAAACTCCCCTCCACAATGAGCATGAACCAAAAGGGAAATTCGCCAGAGACCCTGGGAGGGAGCTTGAGGTGCTGCCGGGCCAGGGGCTGCCTGACCACTCCGTGGCTCCCTGTGGCTTGCCACAACTCCTCTGTGACCCCACCAGGGCCTGCCCTTCGCGGCAAACCTGACTGTCCCGTCTCTCCCAGCTGTCCTAAGGGCTTGCTTCTCCAGGCGGCCTTCCTTCACCCTTGGCCTTCCTCTGCTCTGCTTTCTTCAGAAGCCTCGTCCCTTCCAGACTTAGGTCATCTGCTTGCTTGTTTATTGCTGGTCCCTCGGGTTGGATTGAGGAGCAGGCATTTTAGGCTGTGGGGTCACTCCTTTGCGTGGTGGGCTCGCAGTCAGTGCTTGTGGAGGGATGACAGCGATCGGACTCCATCAAGCGTGGTGCAGGGGACAAGCTCAAAGATGGGCGAGAAGTGGGGAGGAGCCAAGCTCTGAGGTGGGGGCTGGGGGCAGTAGGGTGGGGCAGCTGGCCTTGCAGTGCCAGCTAGGGTCTCTCCTCACCCAGGCCCTCGGCTGAGCACCAGCCACTCACACTCTCTCGGGCATTCCTTGGGAGCCCCTTCTGGAGGGGTCCAGACCGCACTGTCTTCTCCTCCATGCCTGCTGCACTTTTAACTCACCAAAGGGACAGGGCGGCATGCACCCACGTGCTCACAGGATACCTGGACACCCCCTTGACACCCCATTCTCCCACTGCCTGCCCTCAGGGTTAACCCCTCGTTGCCTAATCTTGCTGGTCTGTCCCCACATCTCACGGACTCTCCACTTCCTGTGTGTACCTGAGACCGGGCTACCCCACTTTTTTTTTTAGATTGGAAAATATAGTTTATTTAGAAAGTACGTTAGAAAGAGAGAGAGAGTGAGAGAGAGAGAGAGAGAGAGAGAGAGGAAATTCACCTCCCCAAAGTAAGGAAGGGGGCCAAAGCCAGGAAACATGGCAACAGCCATAGCTCAAAGAGCACATGATCACACCAGAGTCTAGTAAGACAACGGACCCACCCCACTTCTTGCCTGGACCTCTGCTTCCTAGGAGCCCTGCAGCTCTGTACTCCATGTGCAATCACGGGTATCTGGGAAAACATGTGCCCGTCTCGTGCTTCTTCCCAGAAGCCTTTTGGGGCTCCCTGTTTCCCTGAGAACCAGGCTTGCCTGCAAGCACCAGCCCCACCTTGTTTCCTGGTAATGCCTACTCATTCATTCATTCATTCATTCATTCATTCCAAAGCCTGTACTGAGCCCCCACCACATGCCAGACATGGTTCTAGGACTGGGGACCCAGGGAAATAGGCTGATGGAAGGCCACTGTCTTTCTGGAGTGTATACTGAGGACTCAGCTCAGAGGTCACCTCCCTAGGAAGCCCCCTGCCCTCCACCAGTGATGGGCAGGTTAGATGCCTGCCTGAGCTGGACTAGGGGTGTCTGTGGGGGCCGGGATTCTTCTTCACACTGGACCTTTCTACAGGCAGCTGCTCCTGCTGCTTCTGAGCCCTCACCTGTGCTGACTGTTGTGTACTCCTCTGGAAAGGTTTTCCCGGCCTGAGGCTGGGGCGCATCCCTCCCTGGCTTCTTCCTCATAGCCCGATCCTACCAACTTGTCATTGTCAGCTTTCATGTCCATCTCCCCAGCCAGTCTGCCTTGCTGAGGGCGGAGGCGGTGGGCACCGTGTGTGTCTAGAACACGTGAGGAAATGCTGAAATAGATGTGTGGAGGGTGCCAGGTGCCATGGGAACACAGAGAAGCAGGGAGCTCTGCTGGGCAGGAGTAGTAACAGGGAGGTTCCCTAAAGTGCACAAAGCTTGTGCTCCCCTGAATCCTTGCCGGCTTGCCTGCTTTCTGGATTTTAGCCCAGAACCCCACCTCTCAGGGTAGGGGAGGAACTTAGAGACCGAGGAGTCTCCTGTGGCTGGCTGCACAGGTGTGTGGGTCAGGCGAAGGCACACTGACAACCTGAGGGACAACCAGGGCAGCCACAGCCCCAGGTTTGTTCTGCTCCCTGGGAAGCCCACCCCTGCTCCCCTGACAGCAGGTTCTTGGACTCCAGGCCTGTGATGACTCTGAGAGCAGCCCCCCCGGGGCCTGCTATTGTGCCAGGGTCACTGCAAGCCTCACACCCTCGCTCCTGGCCTCTGCACACGTGGCCCCTGAGGTCCATAAATGAGCAGCCCCACCTGGGCATCTCCCCTGCCCTATCCAGGGCCAGCAGGGTGAGTCAAAGGCTGGAGGACCCAGCCCAGATCTGCCCCTCTGAGGTCTTTAATCTGATGGGCATGACGAGTGTGCCAGGAGGAAAGACTGTGACACCCAAACACCTTGGCTGTGAATTCCTGTTGGAAGGCCTCAGGGACTGGACAGAACAAGGATTGGGCATCAGGCACACCTGGCTTCTGCTTCTTATAGGGTGCGTGGCCTTGGACAGATCACATAACCTCTCTGAGTGTCCATTTCCCCCTTATCCCACAGGGTGATCATTAGATTTGGATGGGCTGGGGACCTTTGTAAGCCGTGAAGTGCTTTGTGCAGGCAGGATCCCTGACTCCCTTGGTCCCCCTGCAGCTGCTGGACATCGCTGGGAATCAGCTCACGGATATCCCCGAGGGCCTCCCTGAGTCCCTTGAGTACCTGTACCTGCAGAACAATAAGATTAGTGCCGTGCCAGCCCATGCCTTCGCCTCCACACCCAACCTCAAGGGGATCTTTCTCAGGTGGGAAACCCCCCCGCCCTCTCACCCCCCTCACCCCCGGCCGTCCTGCAGATGCCCCGTAGGGCCTGCCCCAACTCCGGTGGGAAAGTTGCGGCACAGGGAACAGCTCAGAGGCCTTCCAGGCGGGGCCAGTGCCAGGAGCCCAACCCCCAGAGCCAGGATGGGTCTTTCAGCACTCCCACCACCCTCACCCCCAAGTCAGAGAGAAGGAGACAGAACAGAGTGGCGTGTGTGCGCTCAGGGGCTCTGTGGCCCTGAAGGCCGGGGCTTAGTGACACTGGGGTGGTGTGACATGTGCCTTAGGATTCTGCAGGAAAGCAGAGGCCCAGAGCTGAGTGGGGCTGAGGTCAGAGCCAGAGCCCCCAGCTCCCACCGCTGAGCGAGTCCCTGCCCCGGCTCCGTGCTGGTCTTGCCTGCGTGCCATTCCACACCTGGCACTGCAGTGACCCCAGGCTGCCTAGCTCAGGAACCTCAGGCCTTGGGGACGATGCCAAGGGGTGGGAGACGCAGAGGGAGAACACGCACCTCCCAGAGAATCCCCGCTTCTGGGAGAACAGCCCAGCACCAACCCCTGCCCTGAGCCGTAGCCACCTTCAACTGCTTGCACACTCCATCACGTACCACGCCCCTCAGCCAACTTCCGGAAGGGTGTGTTCCCTCCCCCTTGACTTTCTGGCGTGTGTGGGGGTGCTCTCAGGGATGGGTTTGGCACTGACCCTGCCTGGACGGCTCACGCAGGTTTAACAAGCTGGCCGTCGGCTCCGTGGTGGACAGTGCCTTCCGGAGGCTGAAGCACCTGCAGGTCTTGGACATTGAAGGCAACTTTGAGTTCGGTGACGTTTCCAAAGACCGCGGCCGCTTAGAGAAGGAAGAGGAGGAGGATGAGGAGGACGAGGAGGATGAGGATGAAGAAGAAGAGGAAAAGAGATAGTGCCAAGGTGCCACAGATCTGACCTAGGTGGGTGGTCTGTGTGGAGGCGGCCCTTTCCTGCCCCTGAGCCCAGTCCAGAGTCTTTCTGTCCATTCCTCACCCTCTGTCCTCCGCTTCCTCCATTCATTTGCAAATTTGTAAGAGCACTTGGGACACACCAGGCCCCGGGTGAGAGGCTGTTGGGGGGGGTGCAAGAGCAAGCACATGGGAGGCCTGCACATGCCAGAGGACTCTCATCCAGGTTGATGGGTGCCCAGGGGTGGGGTGGACATGTGGGCCTGGGGCTCAGGAGTGAGACTGGGCTGGAGATGGGAATCCAGGCATTGCCAACCTTGAAACAGTCACTGAAGCAGCAGGGGTGGGGGGAGCTTGCCCAGGGAGAGGGAGTAAGGAAGGTGGGCACAATGGGAGGGAGCCCACAGAGGAGACTGAGATGGGAGCAAGAAGAGAGGAGGCAGGAGAACCACAGGCCACTGTGGGCAGAGGGTGTTTGCACATGTATGTAACTCACAAGTACACAAGCATGCAAATGCACACATATGCTCCAACACACGTATACACCTATGCACACACATGTCTGCACATGGACACACATTCACAAAGCACACACGGGCAGAATACATGCCACACATGCACACACAGATACATACAGGCTTGCATTCCATGACATATTTGCAGGCACAGACCGTGTACATACTTTCATGCACACGTGTGCATGCGTTTAAGTACATGCACACATACCCATGTGTACCCAAGCACCATGGGCCCTTATTTGCACATGGGCGTGCACACCCATGTACCACGTATACACATATGCACAGGCTTCTCCAGAAAGTGGGGGGAGTCGGCCATGTCAGTACCACTGAGAGGTTGAGGGAGCTGAGCCCTGCTGAGGGCCCACTGGATTTTTCCACCCGAGGTCATCTGTGACTGCAGGGAGCAGCTGCAGGGAGAGATGGGGTGGAGACGGGGGCTGAAGAGGAAGCAGATCCAGGGCCTGTAGACGGTCCTTCAGGTGGTTTGACTGTGGAGAGGGGAAAGAAGGTGGTGGTGGGAAGTCTCGTGGCGTTCGGGAAGGGCTTATGTCAGAGGGGGCTTCTCAAGGGATGAGGCTGACTCAGAGACGATGGGAAGAGGCTGGTGTGGGAGGGGAGCTCAGGGTATGAGAGGAGAGTTGGGTGTGAGGGCCCCTCTGGCTTCAGCAGGGGGTTCAGTGCTTCTTCCACGGTGGCAGGAGGGACAGAGGGCCAAGTGGCCAGAGTCACAGGCAGGTGAGTGTCTTGGTGGCTGGACATGGAGTCATAACAGCCTGATGCCTTCAGCCTTCTATTTTTTCTGTGCAGCGTGAGGTGCTCTGCAGACCAGGGGCTGTGGGGCAGAGGGACGTGACTCCCATCTACGGCTTGTTTTGGGCCAGCCATGCAGGAGAGGAGGGCAGGGGATGAGGAAGTTGAGTGTATTGGCAAGAGGAAGGCTGAAGTCGGGAATCCCAGGAGTCAGACTGGGTAGGGAAGGTCCTGACAGAAGGGGTTGGTGGCTGGGACACTGGAGAGGGATGTTGGCGAGAGGGCAAGCAGTGGCGAGTAGCTGGGAAGAGTGGCGGTGTGGTCAGGAGATGTCAGAGGCTAGTGAGGAGACAGCCTTGCTGGGGGTGGCAGGGCCAGGGTGTGGCCATGGGAAGGGCCCACCAGGTCACTGTTAGGATGCTGATTTGAGGTCGGGCCTGAGGCAGAGAAGCCTGAGAGGGCTTTGAGGACCCCTTGGGTGGATGACAGAGGGAGCTGGGTCCAAGCTGATGACAGAGAGAAGAGTGCTCCCTGAGGGGAAGTTATCCGAGGTGGCGGGTAGGCCCAGAGGCAGTGCTCGGTCGTTCCCTTCCTGGACTCCCCATGTCCAAGGGTCTGAAGATAGAGCCCCGTCTCCTGAGGCATTGCTCTCTCACAGAGTCGGGCATTAGCAAACGGGGCAACTGGTGGTCCAGTGAGATCACCACGGCCCTCAGGAGGTGGACTGTGAGCCCTGGGATGGGCGAGAATCTGCCCCCTCTGGAGGACACTGGCCTCAGTCAGCTCCATTGAATGGGACCCTGGAAGCAGCCCTGAGAAGTGGCCAGTGGGACCCAAAGGCCTTCTGGTCCACACCAGGCCCGCCCACATTGGCATGAGCACCTTCCAGTGGGTACCCCTCTGGCTCTGGGCTCCTAGGGGCAACTATCCCTCCCCACTCCCAGTAGCCTGGCCTTTTCAGAGCCCCCTCAGGCGGGTCCCTTGTGGTTGTGGCTGGCGGGTCTGCCTGAACCGGCCCCTGACTGTCATATGTGTTCTGCAGGACAATGGACCGCCGGACGCCTGTGCCCTGTGCGCCCTCCTTCTGCCACGTGTGCACAGACACACCCAGCACTGCACCCATGGGGCATCCCACATGACATAGGCTGAACACAGTTTCACATCCCACCCCTTCCTGCAGCATGTCCCACAGCGGGACACGTGCAGACACCACGTCACAGCCCGCACACACCCAGCTCGGCCACACACACAGCCAATTAGACACTGCCCTCCAAACCATCACGCTCCCCACCACGCCCACCGCCACCACAGCAATCCTCTGAGTCATGCAGGGAAGGGGCTGACCCTACCCTGGCACGCACAGGCGCTTGCTCCCTTCTCTGCTGACATGGACACACACACACAAACACACACACGCCCCGATGCACACAGAGACCCATGCAAACAGTCCTCCACAGCCCATGCCATGAGCAGCTCTTGCCCTCAGCCAGAACGGGCCAGAGCAGCTTGCCGTCTGCCCCGTCCATCTGTCCGTCCGTCCCCTGGAGAAGACACAGGATTATCTCCGTGCTCTGTGACCAGGTGCCTGCTGCCTGAGGAACTCACAAAAGCTGGCTTTTGTTCCTTTCCTTCCCTTTGGGGACAGGACCCTTCAGGACTGCTGCCCTAGCCCCGCCCACCCTGGCCCTCCCAGGGACTGCCTGGACCCCCTCCCTGCCACACCCTGACAGGCCACAGGCACTTTTCTGATGGGCAAGACCCACTGGGGCATGACAGGAGGGCCTCTTGGGTGCTGCTGGGGCCTCCGGGCAGGAGTGAGTGGGGGTGGGGCTGGGTGGAGCCAGGTGGGAAGGGCCCAACCGCAAGACCAAGGTCTTTATTCTTTAGGCCTGCTGGGAGGTTCTGGGTGCCTTTGTTTTTTTAAAAAATTCTTTTTCAAGGAAAAAAAATGATAAAAATCTCAAAGCTGATTTTTGTTACAGAAAAACTAATATAAAAGCATGATCCCTGTCCCTGCAGCCTGTGGCCGTGTCTGTGTGTGCTTCCTGCCAGGTGCGGGGCTGGCGCCGGGTGGGGGTGGGCAGGACACAGGCTTCACAGTGCCCTGGCCAGACCAGCAGGAATCGGTGCAAAGTTCGGTTCTTGGGGCCCCAGAGTATTTGTCCAGGCAGAGGTCCAGGAGATGGGACTCAGCCACAAGTACGGAGGCCTGGAGGTGCGTGTAGGCTGTCAGCGTGATAGGAACCCACAGGTGGGGCCAGGACCACCACGCAGGGCCTGTGAGCTCACTGCATTCCTAGAGGCTAAGCATCCAAGCAGAGGACCTGCTGGGCTTTGAGCCTGTTTGGGGCTCACCCAGAGGGTCACAAGTCGTCCCTGCACTGAGGGGATGTTACTGATGGGGTGTCCCATGGGTGGGAAGGGGACTGGAGGCAAGTCTGGAAGCTGGAACAGAGCCCGCTTGGGGGCCTAGGCCTTCCCAGGGAACAGGTAACATCCAGTGTGCTCCCAGCCCTACGGGGGCACAGCTGGGATGGGAAGAGGAAGCTGCCGGGAAGTGGTACCCAGCTCGGAGCTAAGAAGAACCTCTGATGAGCAGAGCTGCCCCACAGTAGATTAAGTTGCCCAGGAAGTAGTGACCTCCCTGCCACTGAGGTGTGTTAGTATGCTCTTATCGATCCTAGTAAAGAGTAGACTCCTACCTTGCGGTGGGATAGACTCCATGGCTCAGAGGGTCTTAGAGGTGCGACACAGGGACAGAGAGAATAAGCCCAGCCACATGATGTGGGAGTGACGGACAGCAAGACACCTGCCCTCTCCTAGGTGAGTAGGCCTCCACAGAGCAAGGCTGCTCTCATGGTGGACCCCATGGTCCCCAGCCCTGCAGTGGGAAGGGGTGTTCTGGGGTCAAGGCTCCTCCCAGACTCCTCAGGCTACCCCCCAGAGGAGGATGGATGTAGCTTAGGAGCTGGGAGCCAGGAGTGGTGCCCTGGCTCTCTGAGTGATCTTGGGGGGAACTGTCCCCTCCTTGGACCTCAGTGTCTTCATGGATGTCACAGTGCAAGCCCCTCCAGGCCCCAGAGCTGAACCTTCCCCCCAGATTCACCTAGAACATGCTGTGTAGTCGGGGCCTTTTGGTGTGCCCTGCAGGCCTCCTGGAGACACCTGGGTGAGGAGAATGAGGGAGACAGTCTGGAAATGTCCTCAGGCATGTCCCCTCTCTAAAGCAAAGCATTCGCCAAAGGGAGCCACTCTGACCAAGGAAATGTGTTCCTTTCTCTTTTTTTTTTTTTGAGTCGGAGTCTCACTCTGTCACCCAGGCTGGATTACAGTGGTACACACACGGCCACCCCAGTGTCAATCTGCAGGGCTCTGGCGATCCTTCTGCCTCAGCCTTCCAAGTAGCCAGAACTACAGACGCACAGCCACCGTGCCTGGTTAATTTTTTATTTATTTAGAAATGAGGTCTCGCCAAGTTGCCTGGGTTGGTCTCGAACTTGTGGGCTCAGGCAATCCACTCGCCTCGGCCTCCCAAAGTGCTGGGATGACAGGCTGAGCCACCGAGCCTAACCAAAATGTGATCCTTTTATGGGGAGTGATCTCAGGGGCCTGTCTGCAGAGCAGAGCCCAGGCTAGCGGCACAGTGGTCTGCCCACCCTGGTCAAGGCCTGGCCACACTGTGTCTGTTGAAACAGGCCCCTGGGCAGGATTTGTACTCTATCTTATGCATGTGACAGAGATGGATCTGTCCTTTCTAGGGCAAGAGGACAAGCTCAGCTGTACTCTGGCTGGCCAGACAGGCCTGCCCACACACTGGCAGCCTGGACAGACCTGTCTAGACTCCAGCTACACGGACAAGCCAACTGCACAGGCCTGTCCCTACACTGGCTGCCTAGGCAGGCCCACCTGCACTCTGACAGCCTATTAATTAATTAGCCCAGTTGCTAATATGACATTAGCTGGCCAGAGCGTGGTCTCAAAACCCACAGGAAGTGAAAAACAAGATGCCTTTATTTAGTTGTCACTGACTTTGCAAACACAGAAAGAAATAGAAAACCCAACTCTGCCACACGGGCCTTTGGGGAGTTTTGTCACCAGGGTCCTCGCAGCTTGACCAGAGCATCCTAGGCTGCGCCCACCTTCCTGGGCCCTGGCTTGCCCACCTGGGCTGTGGGAGGCTAGCCTGGACATGTCGAAGGGGCTTTCCTGCTCCAGCGAGGACATCTGTCTCATCAGATGAGCTTTGCAAGAGACAAGTGGCAAGACAGGAGACTGGATGGACTGTGTTGGGGAAGACCGCAGGTCTTGGCTCTGGGCTGACCCCCCTTGGGGAGAGCTGTTTGGCTGAGGCCACCTGTTATGGGTGGGGCCTGGGCCTGGACACAGCTGGGGCAGAAACCAGGACGTCGGTTGTTACGTCTTCACAGATGGGAAGCAGTGGTGGCCGTGGGTCTCCTGGAGTGGGACTGAGCCTCTCTTGGCATCTGGTCCTGCAGGCCGCCCTGTCCTCCAGGAGAGGAGGCTGGGCTTGAAAGACTTGAGTTCATGTCCTGGCCCTAGCATTACTTTCTCGTGACATTGTGTTTTCAGCTCTCAGAGCCTCAACTCTGTCTTCCAGAAAGTGGGGACCATAACCCCTGCTTGCCGCCCTCCCTGGGTCACAGTGGGGGTTTGGGCAGCGTGGAGCCTGTGACGCTCTGGGTAGGCACCCTCACGCGGCCTTTCCCTCCTCTGAGACTCCATTTCCAGCAAGTGTGGCCGATTCCAGCCTCTCAAGGGGAGGAAGAATGTGTGAGCCTGGCCCCTGCAGGGCCCTGTCCCCGAGGGCTCGCCCGCCCCTGCAGCTTCACAGCTCAGACGTTGGTCTCGAGCTCGCTGATTTCAATGGTACAGTGGTCCAGGCTGGCGGCGGCCGGCTCCTCGTCCTGCTCCACTTGCACTGGGACGTGGTGGGGACAGGCGGGGCCCAGGGTCAGCTCCGAGGCCTCGGCCACACTCTTCACGCAGCCGTTCTGCTGGGTCGCCACGATCTCCTGGAGGCTCACTGGCTTGGTCTCGCAGGGTGGCAGCTTCTGGAGAAGGGAAATAGGCCTTGGTCGCAGCAGAAGGCACTGAGGTTAGCCACTAGGGAGGACTGAGGGTCAGTGGAGCAGGACGAGCTCAGAGCTGGGAACCACAAGATGACTTTTCCTACAGACGTGCTGTGTGGCCTCGGCAGGCCACAGAGTCTCCCTGAGCTCCAGTTCTCAAGCTGTCCTGCCTCTGGGGCTGTCGTAATTGAGGAGGGGACCAGTGAGGGAATCCCTGACTCCCCTGCTGCTGGAGTCTTAGCTTCCTCCTCAGGACGACAGAAGGAGCCCAAAGACCACACAGTCCTGCAGAGACCTGCACATGTTCTCATCGTTGCAGGCAGGACAGCACCATTCCTAGAGCAAGTTCCCTGGGAGCGGGGAGTCTCAGCATATTCTGTTCCCACTGTTCCTCCCATGTCTAGATCAGCGCCGGTCATGGTAGGTGCTCAACCAATAGATGCTAGAGGAATTAGCCACCCCTTGTCACAGATGAGGACACTGAGGTCCAGAGGCATTGAGAGAGGGAGGGAATTGGCTGAAGGCTGACCAGCCGGCTGGTGAAAGATCTGGTCTCCTGCCTGCCCCCCCAACCCCTGCCCCACCCTCCTGGGGGCCTCTAGACCACCATGCTGAGAGAGGGGGGCACCGCTCTCACCTCGGCGGCCGTGTCCCGAGCAAAGTCCTTCCGGCAGATGTGGGCCATGATCCCTGCAGCCAGCGCGTCACCGAGTACATTAATCATGGTACGGAAACGGTCCCTGGTGAGCCAAGTAGCGGGCACTTTAAGGGGGGCTGGGAGGGGGCAGCACTCAACCCTAAGGAGCCAGGTGCTCTCCTGGCTCCTCCTACGCTCACCCCTGCGGTGCTGAAGCCAGCTGATGCAGGGCTGGCTTCATGGGCGCATGACTGTGAGTTGCACAGACCCCCATGCTTAGAAGGACAGGGCGTGGCTTCAGGCTCTGCTGTTTCTGTCTTGAAATTCTTTCTAATTTTTGAATGAGGGGTTCCACGTTTTTGCTTCTGAATGCCAGGCCCCGCAAATTGTGCAGCCAGGACTGTGCCTGAGTAGGGCACCCCCACTATGCCTGGCACGGCAGCTCCCCCGGCCTCCACCCTGCAGGACTCAGCTCCCACCCCGAAGCAGCCCTGCTCCCCACGGGCGGGGCCTGGGGACACAGGTGCACTCACAGAGCCCAGTCGACGGCGATGATGAGGGTGATGTCGTCGGTGGGCAGTCCCACGGAGGTGAGCACGATGACCATGGTGACGAGTCCGGCCTGGGGGATGCCAGCGGCCCCAATGCTGGCCGCGGTGGCTGTGATGCTACAGGAGGGGGTGGGCAGAGGAAGAGGAGGAGCCGGAGGGCGGGGCACCTTGTCAGGCCCGGCTAGGAGGAGAAGGCCAGGATGCCAGGGCCTCTGGGACGTGGGACGAGGGTTGTCAGGAATGCCACATCGGGGAGTTCTCAGGGGCACATCCCTGCTCAGGGTCCTGGCCCCATGGAAACCTCTTAGAAATGTGTAGGCACCTGTGTCTGCGGCTGTGCCCTGTAGGTTCTGGGGAGTCATATTTGTAAGGTACTGCCCAGATATTCCCATCATCCACCGGTACAGCCCTGTCCCTGCCTCCCTCCGGGGCCTCATCCCAGGGTCAGACTTGTGTGCTCGGCTGGCCTGCGAGGTCTCCCCTCAGCCTCTGCCCAACCTCAGCACCCTTCCCTCAGACTACCAGAGGGCCCTTGTGGTCCTCAGACCTTCCTGGCCTCTGCTTGCCCAGTCCCACCTGCAATGCCCTCCGTCCCCGTCTGTCCTGCAGGTTCAGAGCTCCTGGTCACAGCCCTCTGCTCGTCCTCAGGCTGCCAGGCAACTGAGGAAGGAGCCCTGAGTCCCAGAGGCCGGCTCACATCCCAGTCCCCATGTGACTTGCCTCGGAGACCCCACCAGGTCTGGGAGCTCCAGAGCCCCCAAGGCCCTCCAGCCCCCGGCCCATCCACCCAGGGTGCGGGCGTCAGGGTGCACCTGATGGTGATGATCTGGCCGAAGTCCAGCTCATAGTTGTTGACCTGGGCAATGAAGATGGCGGCCACAGCCTCGTAGAGCGCGGTGCCGTCCATGTTGATGGTGGCGCCCACAGGCAGCACAAAGCGTGCGATGCGCCGGTCTATGTGGTTGTTCTCTAGCAGGCACTTGAAGGTGATGGGCAGGGTGGCTGAGCTACGGGCAGAGGGGCCAGTGTCTGCCCAGCACCCTCCTTCAGGATGGCAGGGCCACCGGCAGGACGCTCACCCCACCCCGGCAGCTCCCCCGGCAGGGGTGCATGCATGCACCCATGCGGGTGGCTCTGGGCAGGAAGGGGGTGACCCTGGCAGGGCACCTACTATGTGCCAGGCACCGTGCTGTGCCCTCATGAGACTCTTCCTATGAGGGAGGTGCTTGAGTCCATTTTACAGATGAGGAAACAGACCCAGAGGGGACAAGGGGCTGACCAATGTCACCCAGCTGTGCCAAGAATGCATGGAGTGGTGAGCAGCAGGGGTTCTGGGCCAGGCTGCCTGGGATCCGGTTCCAGCTCCTATCAGGTGGCCCTGGTAGGTTCCTGAACCTGTGTGCCTTGACTCCCCTGTCCCCAGCAATACCTTAACGAGCTACTGAGAGGATGAACCGACGAAGTGCCTGGAACAGTGTCTGGCATATTGTACGCAGTCACTCAATCATTGGTGTCCACTACTAATATTGCATGTGTGTTACTAGAGTTCCTAGTGGCAGTCTGGAGACTAAAACTCAGGTTAGTGTGGCCCTGTGCCCTTCCCCTCCCCAAAGGCCACTGCTGGGGAGGCTGGTTCCTCTCTACAGAGCCTCTAATGAGCTCCAGACATGCTGGGCTTGAGCCTGTGGTTCCTGCTGCCAGGAGATGGCTGGGGCGCTGCTGGCTCTGGCAGGGATTGGCCCCTGGCATGAGAGCTGATGGTCCTGGGGCTCAGTCTGCCCTTTTACTCCCGGACAGTGGCTTCTGGGCTCTTCTTCCCTGGAGTCTACTCCTCCTGACTCCTGCCACCAAGGATGGGGTCACGTGTCTACCAGGGAAAGAGGCCTGCGGGCATTTTTCAGACTGGGAAGCTAAGGCCCAAGGAAGAGAGGCACTAAGGGCTGGAGGGAAGAGCGAGACCCTTGGTGCCAGAAAGATGTGGCTTGAGTTCTTGTGACTTTTTGGACCCTCACTATGGGGAAAGCCACCTGTCTTCACAGGGTTAGATGCTCTATAAGTGGCCACTTCCTTCCTGCCCCCTTGACCGACAACCTGGTTTGCCCAATGCCAAATCCCAAGACCATCAGCTCTCATGCCAGGGGCCAATCCCTGCCAGAGCCAGCAGCCCCAGCCATCTCCTGGCAGCAGGAACCACAGGCTCAAGCCCGGCATGTCTGGAGCCAAATTCCTGAGGTCTTCTGCACTCAGCTGTGGTTTGGGACCCTCGGGGCCAGGCAATGGCTCACCTGGCCCAGGCTGACGTCCTCACCCTCAACAAAGTAGCTCAGACTCCACAGCAGCCCTATGGAATGGAAGCTAAAACCCTCCCCCGTCTGTATATGAGAACACTGATGCCCAGGTACAGCTAGCCAGTGATGCAGCCAGGATTCAAGTCCCCACTGTCTGGTGACACTGCCACGGTTGTAACAGGGCACCCGGCCAGGATGGCCCAGGGACAGGAGACAGGCAGGGCCCAACTCCAACAGAAGCACCATGTGGTGATAGAAGGCAACGGCAGTTTGTCACTGGTGTGATTTTCGACAGACTCTGCAGCTCTCTGCCCGATACATAGAAGCCAGCCCCGTGTGGAGCGAGTGTTAAGGATTGCAGCAGTCAGGCAGGTGAGGCCGCAAGCATCAGATGCCCCAAACAGGTCATTACCATAGCACCACCTCAGTCTCAGGAGCAGCGCTCACTGGCACTTTCTTTTTTTCTAAGTCGGAGTCTCACTCTGTCACCCAGGCTGGAGGGCAGTGGCACACTCACGACCACCGTAGCCTTTACCTGGTGGGCTCAGGCAAGCCTTCCGCCTCAGCCTTCCAAGTAGCTGGAACTACAGGCGTGCGCCACCATGCCTGGCTAATTTTTTTTGATTTATTGTAGAGACGGGGTCTTGCCAGGTTGCCCAGTCTGGTCTCAAGCCCGTGGGCTCAAGTAGTCCTCTCACCTCGGCCTCCCACAGTGCTGGAGTTATAGGTATGGGCCACTGTGCCCAGCCCCTCACTGGCACTTTCTGTGGGTCTGTGACTAGGGACACACAATGTCTGGACAGATGGACAATGCTCAGCCCCCATCCCCCACCCTTCCGCCCTGGGGCTACCTGGAGGAGGTGGCCAGCGCGATGAGCAGGGCCTGCAGGACGCCACGGATGAAGACGACGGGGTTCTTCTTGGTAATGAAGAAGTAGAGCAGAGGCAGGATGAAGAGCCCGTGGAGCACGAGGCCGCACACCACCGTGACCGCGTAGAAGCCCAGCTTCTTGCCCACGGCCCTGGGGTCGTCCATCTCCAGGATCTTGCCAGCGATGAGGAACACGATGCCGAAGGGGAAGTACCTGGGGGTGGCAGGGCAGTCGGACCCAGGCGCCAGCAGGCCAGGGGGCCCCCCGGACTCGGCCTTGTGCTGCTGCCCAGCCTGCTCCTCTCTGAGCTTCCCGGGCTCCCATGAGGACTGAGTGCCAAGGTGCCCGGCCTAGGGTCTACACGTGGCATCATCAGGGCCACCACCTCCACCCTCTGGCCCTGGCCAGCCTCTGTCCCTCCGCCTTCCCTCTTGTTTCTGAGGAGCCCACGGGCGACCACGGATGACCCTGGGCAGGGCTCCCTCTGCCTTTCCGGTCTCAGCGCCTAAGGTCTGAACTCTGACTTGAGTGGCAGCTGGTCCTCACGTCCAGGTTTCCTTTCTCTAAATGCCGAGCCAACAAGGCTGCGTGAGTCGGGGAACTGAGACCAGGGCGGCAGCAGAGCCAAGCCGAACTCTTAGACTGGGCCAGAAGGGGCAGGCTCAGGGTTGGGGAATCCCCAGAGTCCCATGTCGTCCTGGAGGCCCCAGGCTGGGGCTGCCTCCTGCGTCGCGCTCTGCTGTGCTCCTAGGGGACCGTGGCATCCCTCAATCCACCCGGGGCTGGAAGGGTAAGGTGGGTAAGGAGGCCCCCCCACAAGGCTTACCACACGGCCACCGCCACGATCTTCATGACAGACTCGTTGAGGCACTGGCAGAAGCTGACCAGGGGGGCCCCGCTGTCACCCATGCGGCCCAGCATGATGCCTGCAGGGTAGGGACACACAAGCCCGTCACAGAAGCCCCAGGCTGGGCACAGGCACACTGGTGGCACAGCAGGGACAGACCGACACGCACACGTGGCTCTCGGCACACGGCTGCCTCCCCAGCAGGCTGGACGTGACGGGGCTCCCCTCCCTCCCTTCGCTCCTTCTCCTCAGGCCCCACAGGGGTGGTTCTTGCACCTCTCTAACCTGCCATCCACACAGCAGCCAGTGTCGTCTTCTTGAGACAAACCCGCCCCCTGTGGGGCATCCCTGCGGACTTCCACAACCGAGCCCCCTGACGGCCCTGGCCCACTTGAGCTGACCCCGGCCAGTACCTCCCTCCTCTGCTGGCCCTGCTCCTTCCTCACTGTGCCTGGCACCAGGTTTCTGGAAAACATCAAGCTGTCCCCTGCTTCGGGGTCTCTGCCCATGCAGGTTCCGAGCCACCAGCTCTCCACACGGCTTGGAAGCCTTCCCACGCCCCTTCGCAAACTCCCCATGTGTCCTTCGATCTCTTGCGGATTCCTTCTTACCTCTTATGCAGCTTATAGCCATCTGGCTTTTTTCTGTCTCCTCTCTGGAAAGGTGGACTCCTGGGCGGTGATGACTGAAAGCCTTCCCTGAGCCCCTGCTACCTCCCCTGCTGTTCCTGGCTTTTCTTCCCAGCTACACCACTCTGGGAAGGTCCATGTGGGGGCTTCTCTGTGGGGCTGTGCTGCGTCAGGCCATGCCTGGAACGGTGGTTGAGCCCACCATCACAGCGCACAGGGACTCGGCTAAGGAAAGCAGGGAGGGGATTTGAACCCAGGTCTGTGAGACACCAGAAAAGGGCGCTTTCCAAACTACCCTGAGAAGCCCGAGCCTCTCAGTCCACGGAGCAACTGCCCCACAGTAATGGTGAGGGGGGGCCCTGCCAGGCAAACAGGGGAGGCTGGAGCCAGAGGGGACCCTAGGCTTGGCCCTTCCCCAGGCTATGCCTACCCCTCCTCAGGCCCATTTAGATTTTGGACGGGGGGAGGTGGTACTGAAGCTGGTGTGCAGGGGACCCTGGTGTGGCAGTGGGGCTTCCTCGCCGGAAGGCCAAGGAGACCTCAGTGCCAGTCTCATCCCAACACCACGGAGGAGGTGAGGAAGGGAGGCTGGGGCGAGGAGATCATGAGCCCTGTCCAGGGGAGGCGTGCCTGTGGGCTCGCTCACACTCAGGCTGACGTCTGTCCCAACAGACACGGGCACCGGCAGATGTGGGTACAGACAGGGGCAGGCACACACAGACGCAGGCACAGACAGACATGGGTGCAGATGGACGGAGGTAAACACAGGCACGAGCACACGCAGACTAGGCCACACACTGCCTTGGCACACCTACAAACGGGGAGGCAGGGACAGCACATGCCCAGTAAGTGCTGAGTGCGAGGGTCTAAATGTTTCTTTTGCTCTGCCAATAGATGCCCTTTTCCCATCCCTGAGAGAGGCTGTGGCTGTTGGTTGTGCTAAGACTCTGGCGGAAGTCAACGCACGGGTTGGAGGGAGACTTGGAGGAGGACCTGGCGGGACTTGGAGGTGACAGGATTGAGGCAGAGGAGGGACTGAGATGCAGCCCCAGATTTTCTGCAAGAGGGGAGTGAGGTTTTTTCCTAAGGCTGAGGGGCTTCCAAACACTGTCCCGTCATGCACCGGGTCACTGAGGCCCTGGCCCTCCACACGCCGGGTGTTTGACTGAAGCGATAAGAGCTCCACTGTCCATCATCTTTCCGCCGCCCACCCCTCCCCTAGATCTTACTAGTGCCGGTCATTGTAGTGGGCTCTGGGAGGGAACAAGTCAGGCGTGTCTCTGCCTGCATGGGGCTGCCAGCTGCTATGCAGACATCCAGTGAACATAAAACTGCAATGGGACCAGAGTTTGCAGAGTAGCGCAGGCAGTGGATATGTGGCCTGGGGCACCTGGTCTTGTCTGGGCAGCAGAAAGGCTTTCCTGAGGGCGAGATGCCCACGGGGAGACCCCCTAAGGATGAGAAATGTGGAGGGAGGAGGGGCAAGAACAGCTCAGTAGGGGGAGGCAGAAGGCCCTGGGGAGGCGGCGTGGCTGTGGCGAGGCCTTTGAGGAGAGGGAGGCCACCGGACCCACATGGCAGGGCTCTGTGGCCAGCGCCTGGGGACTGGCCCCGTTCTAAGTGTAGTGGAGAGTCAGCTTAGTGGCCCCCTGAGGGGGACAGGCCAGAGGGACACGACAGAAGCTATAGGGACTCGGGCCAGCTTTCATAGAAACCAGGGAGGAGGTGCAGGCGGCATCAAACCTGGGCGGTGATGCTGGCAGAGGACAATGCACAGGTTGGAGGGAGACTCGGAGGCAGACCTGGCAGGGCTTGGAAGTGGGGGCTGAGGCAGAGGAGAGGCCGAAAGGCACTCCAGATTTCTCACATGAGCAACCAGGAGGGGAGTGAGCTTCTTCCTTAATGGGAAAACCCTGAGGAGAAGTCAAGGAGGTGGAAGACAACCACCCCCAGGTCCCGTGGGGGCAACTGATGCTTATTTTATTTTATTGTGAGTCAGTGCCTCACTCCCTCGCCCAGGCTGGAGTGCAGTGACACAATCCTGGCTCGCTGCAGCCTCAACCTCCTGGGCTCAGGCGATCCTTCTGACTCAGCCTCCCAAGTAGCTGGGACTACAGGTGCACACTGCCACACTCTGCTGATTGGTTTTATGTAGAGATGAGGTCTTGGTATGTTACCCAGGCTGGGCTCGAACTCCTGGGCTCAGGTAATCCTCTCACCTTGGCCTCCCAAAGTGCCGGAATTACAGGCGTGAGCCACTGTGCCCGGCCTTGGTGCTCATTTTAGAGTAAGACTCACAATGTCCCCTGGGACATCACAGATGCACAGGGTCAGGACATGCAAGCCAGACTCTTCTGGAAGTGTTAGGAGTTGTCCTCAAGAAGGAAAAAGGCTTGTGTGTCGGTGGTGCTGGGGACCACAGCAGGTATATAAAGTGTATATAGTTTGAAGTGTATATAGTTTGGGAGTCCTTTTTAAGAAAAAATTCACACTATTTTTCTAAAAAAATAAAAATAAAAAGGTGTAGGCCGTAGAAGGGGACTGTACAAGCAAGGGGACTTGAGGCTTGAACTTTATGGTTGGGGCCTTTCGGACCCAGAGAAGAGTAGCAAAGGAAAGCATGTGACCAGGAGGCTGGCTGTGGGCCCCAAGAAATGGCCCAGACAGGTCTGAGGAGAGAGGTGGCCAGTGAGAAGCCCCTAGGTGGGGTGGGGAGATGAGGACTTTAAATAAACAGGGGTGGGCCGGGCGCGGTGGCTCACGCCTGTAATCCCGGCACTTTGGAAGGCTGAGGCAGGAGGATTGCTTGAGCCTAGGAGTTCGAGACCAGCCTGGGCAACCTAGTGAGACCTTGTCTCTACAAAGAATCAGACAATTATCCAGGTTTGGTGGCGTGTACCTGTAGTCCCAACTACTCAGGAGGCTGAAGCAGAGGGATCACCTGAGCCCAGGAGGTGGAGGCTGTGGTAAGCCATGATCGTGCCACTGCACTCCAAGGGGACAGAGTGAGACCCCGACTCTAAACAAACAAACGGGGTGGACGACGGCTTTGGTTCCTTATGGTAAACGCTCCCTCCTGTATCATCCCCAGACTTCATTCAGCAAGTGGGAGGGGCCAGGGGCCCGGCTGGCAGACCAGCACCCCGGGATGGAGCGGGATTCCACGTGAGGAGGGCAGGGCCGAGATGCCCCTCCGTGCCCGAATGAGGGCTTGGGCTATTTCGTTGGGTGTGAAGGCAAGGGCGGGCTGGGACATGGGGGCTCCAGGGAGCGAGGGAGGGAAGGGACAGAGGGGCCGTGGCACATACCCATGGTGGCGGAGAAGAAGACGATGCCCAGCACGTTCATGCCCTCGCTGGTGCCAGGCTCTGACTTGTAGACGACCTCGGGCGGCGGGGTCAGGTCCAGGGCGAAGTTCTGCACTCGAGAACCGTTCTCCTCCTGGACCCCGTAGATGAGGATCCGCCGAGGAGGGGCCTCCTCCACCACCACCTTGGGGGACTTGATGACTGGGGTGGTCTTGGTGCGGTACTGGGGGCGACACCGGCCGGGAAGGAGTCAGGCCACATGTGGTTATTAATACCACCACCACCAAGATGAGCCTCTTTTTTTTTTTTTTTTTTTTTGAGTTGGAGTCTCACTCTGTCACCCACACTGGAGTGCAGTGGCCGTTCCTGACCTGCTGGGCTCCGGCGATCCTTCCGCCTCAGCCTTCCGAGTAGCCGGAATTACAGGCGCGTGCTACCACGCCCGGCTGATTTTTGATTGATTGTAGAGATGAGGTCTCGCTGCCCAGGCGGGTCTCGAACCCGCGGGCTCAGGCGATGCACTCACCTCAGCCTCCCAAGGCGCGGGATCACAGGCTGAGCCACCAAGCCCGGCTAGGATGAACCTCTTGAACGCATGTCTGTACCCACTCAGGCCTTATTTGATGGGCAGTAACCCCAAGAGGTAGGCGGGGCGGGGTCCCATCAGCGTCGCAGCGGAAAGGGAGCCGAGATCCCTTCCTGCTCTGCACACCACCCGCTCGGGCCTGCCCCAGCCTGCTCCTCCTCTTCCTCACCCCAGCTGGACCTCTCTCTAGCCACCCACCGCATCGCCTCATCTACCCCGCCGGTCCGGTCCTCCCTTCCCCTGTCTACCCGCTTCCGACCGCCCATCACTTGCTCCCTGAACAGCCGGCCAGCCCTGCCTCCCGCCAGACGGAACCTGGGTCTTCTCTTTTCCAAAGCTCAGCCTGCCCCCAAGCCTTCTGGATGAGACGAAGTCCATCCAGGAAGGACTGACCTTCCTGAACGGCCTCCCTTTCCTCCCCTGCCCCCGGGGCATTTCTGGGCCTCTCCACTCCTTCCTCAGGTATTGGGAGCCCAAAGAAGGGAGCCTCCTAGCCTCTCAAACAGCCCAGTATCACTCAGGTAAGCCTGGGGGGGGGGGAAGGAAGCACTCGGGAACTGTTTGGGGCCTAAAGTCTCTGTGCTTCATTCTCCTCATCTGTAAAATGGGATCATAATGGTATTTACCTCCCTGGAATATATATATATATAGTTAACAATAGTTTCTTACGTGGTAAGCCCTATGCAAGCATTATTGCAATCGTCACCATCATCAGTGTTGAACACTTTGTACTCATTACTAGAGATACAATAGCAAACCAGACATAGTTTCTGCTCTGAGAAAGAAGGGGACATTTGGCTTGGGTCCTGACGGATGGGCAGGAGTTTGCCAAAAGAAAAAGGGCATTCCAGGCAGATATGCAGTGGAGCAGTTATCTTTCTGTTTCTCTCTCACACCTTCAATAATTACCCATCATGACTGGAATAGAATCCAAACTCCTTAGCCTAGCATTCAGGGCCCTTCACAATCTGGCTCATTTCACAGGTGAACACCCAGGATGCTAAGAGAAATATGGTGGTTTGCTCAGGTTCCCACAGCCCCCCATTTAGAAGCCTCCTATCCAACCCTCAATCACTTCCTTCGTGCCCTAGGCTCGACGCCACGCCTGGTCCAGGAAGGGGTTCAGGAAGTACTTGCTGGACTGAGTCAACCAACCAGCTTACGTTTTAGAAGGGGAAAAAAGGATTGGAAATCATCACATGTGCCACAAATATTGATGCACAAGGACACTTACTACAATTTCTAGAAAGGAGAAACATTGAAAACAACCCAGAGGACCCCTGACAGAGGGAATGTGTGGATCAGTCAGAGTCCAGCCTGACCCCAAGCTATGAGGCCACCACTCCATGGAGTGCCTTTAAGAACGATTTGATGCCGGGCTCGGTGGCTCAGCCTGTGATCCCGCGCCTTGGGAGGCTGAGGAGAGTGGATTGCCTGAGCCCACGGGTTCGAGACCCACCTGGGCAACTTGGCGAGACCTCATCTCTACAATAAATCAAAAATCAGCTGGGCGTGGTAGCTCATGCTTCCACAGCTACTAGGAAGGCTGAGGCGGAAGGATCGCCGGAGCCCAGCAGGTCGAGGCTGCGGTGGCCGGGAGCGGCCATGGCACTCCAGTCTGGGCGACAGAGTGAGACTCCAACTCAAAAAAAAGAAAGAAACAGCCTTGGAAGCCAGACAGGCGTGGGTTTACCCACCAGCTTTATCATTCACTAGTGGTATAACCTTGGGTGGATCACTCAGTCCCCTGAGCCTCGGTTTCCTTGTTCAGGAAATGGGCTGCTCCCATCTCAGTGCAGGTGACCGTGGGATGAGTGAGACGGTGCATGTGTGAGCCCAGCAGGCACTCAGCGAAAAACCGGCCCCCAGGAAAGGGGTGTGGCCACAGGAGGTTCCATGGATCTGGGTCCCCTGCCTCCCCTTCCTCCCAGCATCCCTCCTCCAGGAGACAGAAAACCTGGTTGGGCAAACCCGTTACTTTCCAGCCAAGCCAGCTGGCCTCGCCTGCCTGCCCCTCCTGTCAACCACCTCTTCCCTCCCCTGCATCGCCCCCAGGGACCCACTCACCTGTTTGAACGTGGCTTCCACCAGGTTGGCTGGGAACATGTTCCTAGGAAGAGAGTCAGTAGTTGAAGACTTCCAGAGCCCAGGACGGGAGGGCCCCGAGGGCTGGGTCCGTGGGATCATCTGGACATCTCCCTGGGCAGTCGAGGCCTTCCACGAGCCAGCCGCCTTTCCCCTGCAGTCGCACCCCTGCACCGTGGACATGCCCCGCCCGCACCCTCATCACTTACAGCTCCCTGACTATGCCGGGTATCTTCCCGCGCAGGCCTGCGTCCACACCGTTCCCTCTGCGGAATGCCCTGCCTGCTTCTCTGTCTGGCTCACCCCTGCTCCAGTCAGCCACAGGTCAAGCACCACTTCCTCTGTCCGGCCCTGACTGCCCCAGCTGACCCCGTGGTCCTTCTGTGTGTGGGTCACTTTTACTCCACCACATCACAGTGTGATCACTGGCTGATGTGTCCGCCTCCCCCATAGCGTGGCCTCCTTGCAGGTGAGACCCGGTTATTCCTATCCCATCTGTGGGGCCCAACACAGGACCTGACACACAAGTCGGGTCGTTCTTTTTTTTTTTTCTTTTTCCTTGAGTCAGGGTCTCACTCCATCACCCAGGCTAGAGTGCAGTGACGTGATCACGCTCACGGCAGCCTTGGCCTCCTGAACTCAGGAGATCCTTCTGCCTCAGCCTCCTGAGTAGCTGGGACTATAGGCAGGCACCATCACACCTGGGCTAATTTAAAAAATTTTTTTTGTAGAAATGAGGTCTTGCTGTGCTGCCCAGGCTGGTCTTGAATTCCCGGGCTCAAACGATCCTCCTTCCTCAGCCTCCCAAAGTGCTGGGATTACAGGCGGGAGCCACTTTGTCCAGCCTCAGTATTCTCATTTATATAATTTAGTATAACACTAAAGGCAGAGAGGTCCAGAAATGAAAACATAGGGTAAGACTGTAGCTGTCAAAACAGTGTGACCCAGTCGTCGATAGAATAATCAATGTCACGAAAGCTGTAGCCCAGAAGCAGGCCCTGGAATAGCTAAGTATTTCAGATTTGATGAAAGTTTCTCCACAGATCAGTGAGGAAATGAAGGATTCATCCCAAAATACTGTACGACTGGCCAAGACATTAGCTCCTTATTTAACACCTTACGCCAAAAAACTACAGACGCGTAGTAATTCTTTAAAAAGCGAAACCATAACACATTAGAAGGAATACAGGTTGACACTTATCCATTCTCAGAATATGAACGGGCTCTCTAAGAAGAAAATGTCCAAGAAACCAACTGATTGCAGAATATTTGTAAAGTATCCCCTGGGTAGAGTCCAGGAGGCCCGAGTGGCTTGCAAGGTGTTTTCTAATGAAACTGAGAGGCAAGTCTGCTTTAGCTCGAACAGAAAGTAAGCATGTTCAAAGGTCATGAGAAACCAAAAGGAACTTACACCTAGTGTGTACATTTCTTTGCAACTTAAAAAAAATTAGAATAATTGTAAAGGGGAGCTGTGGCAGGGACGGCTAGCGGTCCGCCCAGTCTCCACTCTCCCCTCCTTCCTTCCCATCAGAAACCATGTTACGTGGTGGGGACCGACAGGGACCTGCCACTGGGCCCAGATTCCCAGCCTCTCTTGCCAACAGGGTGGGCACCGAGATGCGAGGGGAAGTTGCTGAAAGTTGTTGTCCGGGAAAACTCTTGAAGAGGTGTCCATTCAGCTCTTTGATCCTTTCCTCTGACTTTCTTCCTTCTGCCTGGAACAAGGATGTAACAGCTGGAGCTTGAACAACCTTCTTGGACCGCGAGACACGCTGATGATGAGAGTCAGGTGTGAAGCTTGGCAGGGCACACAGGTGGACAGAGCATGGGACCTCGGTGTCCCCGAGCCGCCCACCTCTAGACTGCTTATTAGGAGGAGATGCAAGCCTTGACCTCACTTGAGCCTCTGCTGTTCCAGGTTTTTGTTAATTGACAGCCAGAAGCAATTCCTGGCTGATATGTGTGCTCACACTAATGATCCATGAAAATATCCTGCAGCTTTCAGTCAAGAATGACAATTTTTTACTATTCGGTGGGAAAAGGCCCCATATTTTCTTTTGGCCTTGAAGCCCCATGGGAAGCCTTCCTGCCTGTGCTCCTGGTGGCAGCTATACAAAACAGACAGAACGTGCCTGAGGATATAAATAGCCACGCCTGTCACATCCCTAAACGCTCCGCCCTGGGCATCCCTGTATGTTTCCCAGGCAGAGCCAGAGGCCCCCTCCTAGTTCCCCTCAACCCCATGGCTTGTGAGTTCTCACTACGATGGTCCCAAGCCCACCTCTGATCCCGCGTGCCCGCCCCAGGCCCCGAAGGTCAGAATTGTTCCTCTGAAGCCCAGCTCCTGAGGGCTGCCTTCTGTCCCTGAGAGGGTAGCTGGGAGCTATAGACAGAGCCAAGTCATTACTTAATCCCTGTGGTGTTTTAATAAGATTGGAAAAAACAGAAGGGGCCAGCTCTGATTAGTGTTCCGCTTGGGTTTTATTTTGAGGCTGTACTGCGAACAGACGTCAGTTTTCCGGACGCCCACCCCCCCCC